GTCCTGCAAAAGAACAGACAAAAGTCAGTAGCTCAGGTGCCTTAAACTAGAAAGGTCACGGGATTATTTTCTGAACAGGTCGCATTTTCATAAGAAAATCCACCATGATGTCTAACCCTGACTAGCTGTCTTGAGGAAGTGTGTTGTTGCTAGTCAGACAGAAAGAGCATTTCTACAAACCATCCATGTGCTCTCCAGCTTTTAGGAATGACAGAGTTTGTGCAGTGTGGGCCAGCAACACTGACCTTGCTCTCAGCCCAGCCCAGTCCCTCACTCAGCACAGCAGACCTCTGAGGCACAAAGTGCTTGAGATCTCTATCAGCCTTGGGGAACAAATACTTCAGCTCCAGTGTTCCTGTGCTGCAACTGGTGTCAGGATCCCATGTCATGCTTTGCTGGTTCCAGTATGGGACCATATTCTGGTTCTGGTTTTTACCCTGGGAAAGGGCCCTACCTGGAGCAGCCAGAGAGTCTGGCAGGAAAGGAGGCCTGAGGTATATCCTGGCACATCCTGCCTGGCAACTGATCATTTTCGTGCCATTTGCACACGAAGCACCTGCCCAGGTGTCTTCCTTTCAAGGACTTAAGAAAGCACTACTTTGGACATCTCGGTTGTTCAGTAATTCTGGGTGGCTGCCATCCCTGCCTCAATCTACTGGGCAGTCTTCCAGGGCAGAATGGTCACAAAAGCCTACCCCAAACCAACACCTGGCTGCATCCATTTTTGCAGGATGGGTCAGTGAAAGCCCGAATCCACTGTGAGGTCAGGCAAGGGAGTGGATCGGAGGCCCTGGGAGTCGATACTCTTACCTGCAGTGGTGGTGACACACACCAAAAAACCAAAGGGACTCTGGGCCAGGGTTGCTCGTGCAATTCCCTGGGAGGTAGTCCTGCCAGTGGTGACTTTGGGGCCATCAAAACCTTACTTTTGCCTTTCATGGAAGAATCTTGCAAGAACAGTTTGGCTCTTGAAAATGCCAGTGGAATGTTTAATCAGCTCTGGCTCTGACCAGTCTCTCTTCCCCACTTCCAGTCCTGCTTGTTCTTACAGCATGGTGATAAGAGGGATCCTGGGAGCAAGTGTACACCACAGGGCCCCAACAGTGCAACCTGACCAAGGTCTCTTAGTCTCTTGAGCATGCACCATGTGCCCTCAGCACTTGGGAGAGCTGTTAGTGAGCTGGAATGTGCAGTCTGGTTCCCTTTACTTTGCAGTTCTGTTGCCATCGTATCTTGAGAGTTTCTCCATCTTTTTCTAATGAATGTCTTGAAAGGTGTGCGGGAGGGCACAGCTGAGGTTGGTTTGTTGGAGGCCCAGAGAGAACTTGCAGTTGACCCTGTGCTAACTGAGGCCAGGAGGAAGAGACTGCCTGGGGAAGGCTCCCCTGTCCACACCCAGGACTTCATGGGTGGGCTAAGTGGGATGCTTCACTGGGATGCAAGGTGTGGCTGTTATGTGGTTAATTATTTGGTTTTAATGCATATTTAAAAACAAAACAGAAAAATGCCTGTGTTAAATTAGCGGTGAAGCTAGGCATGGTGGCTCATATCTGTAATTCTAGCACTCAGGAAGCTGAGGCAGAAGGACTGCTGCGAGTTTGAAGCCAGCATGCAATAGCGAGACCCTGTCCATAAATAAAAAGAAAAAATAATAAAGTTAGAGCTGAAGATATATTTCCAATACATTCTAACATAAAATTTTTGGAATAGGGGAAAAACTAAAATTCAAGAGCAGGGTCTTTTTTTTTTTTTTAAAGTATACTAGATGGTCAATCCGTTGATTCTCTGTAAAGCTACCTTGCCTGATTTAATAAGAATTTTCCTTTCCAGAAAAAATTGCATGGATATAAGAATAGATAATAGCCAGGCATGGTGGCTAATCCCTATAATCATGGAACTTAGAAGGCTGAGGCAGGAGGATTGTGATGGGTTTGAGGCCTGCCTGGGCCAAATAGTGAGTTCAAGGCCAGCCTGAACTACATAGCAAACCCCTGTCTAAAAAAAAAAAAAAAAAAAAAAAAAAAGAAGAAGAAAAAATAATATCAGGCAAATTTCGCCTCCCAAAATTGACTTGGTTACAGAAGAAACAGTAAGACAAATATCCTTTAAAATGAATGTTTGATAACTGCATTATGATCAAAACTTATTTCAAAACTTATTCTATTTTGTCTCTTAATTTGTGTTTCTCCAATTTGTCAAGGCTAAGTGCTGTTCTTGCATCCTAGAAAAGTATTATACTTTTCAAAAAATGGAATCACATCTGATATGTCTTAGTCCTTTTTCACTTTTTCAAATGTGTTTGGGTTAATCAAAATCAGAAGATGAAATTGAGACTGAGACATTATTTATTGGGCCAAACCAGTTGCCCCCCAGCTCTTGTCAAAAGATGAACACCATTTTGTCTGCCTGTTTTCATGGGCAGTGGTGGACACCTGAGGACAGGCATGCCAGATACCACCACCTACCTATGCCTTTGCCATAAGAAAGGGAATATGTTGGGGAATTAATGCAGATCCTGTGTCCCCTAACTCTCAGATTTGAGATTGCCATTCTGGTTTGGGTATCCACATCTTTAATTTAACCCACTGTGTCTGTCAAATCAGAATATAAATCTGCTAGATATCATGAGAATGATAAGTTTAGTGATGTAATAGTGTCAGGGTAAGATTTTAGCAGACTGAAATGTTTGCAATTTCTTTTTTAAGTTTTTTTTTTTCTGAGTATAGAGGCAGTGTTACTTTAGAAGATATAAGAAAATACAAAGCAAGAAAAAAAAAACTTTCCTGAAATCCTGTCACCTGGATATTCTCACAGTTTGAAGAATATGTAGTGTGTCCTCCTCATCCACCGGAAACACATTCCAAAACTGACCACCACATGTGCTGTGTTTTTCCTCCATATCCTGTAGTGTGACCACAAAGGGCCAGAGTTAACCTGCCCTTCATGTTAGATGCTCAGGTCCCTCACTTGCACCACTACTCTGGTGCTTTGGGGTCACCATTAAGTAAAACAAGCGTAAACTGAATGCAATCACTGGGACACAGCAGCAGTCTAGCTGATACCCTGGATGGTGACGAAGTCACTCCGGGGCGGATTGTATGTAGGGTGGACATGCAGGACAGAGGCTTGCTCATGTCCCAGGAAGAAGTGGGACCAACAGGCTGGGGATTTAGCTCAGTGATTCCGCTGCCTGCTTCACAAGCACAAGGTTCCGAGTTTGAGCCCCGGATACCCAGTACCAAAACAAAACAAAAAAAAAAAGTGGGACCAAGCAGGATGCCACAAGAGTTCTTCACATTATTCACAATGGCACACAACTAAAAACACATGAACTCTTTATTTCTGGAGTTCTCCATGTAATATTTTTGTACCATAGCGGACTATAGGGAACTATAGTTGGAGCATGGAATGCAAAAGCGCAGATAAGGGACCACTGTATTGCTAATCTTTTTTGCATAGACCTATGTAACATTTTCTTCCTGCATGTCTTGTCTTCATGAACAACTTCATCTCTGATTTTCACATTAACGATACATTATAAAATTTTACCTACCATTTAAATCTCCACAAATGAGTTCAGTGATGATACAAAATTTAATAGCATAGATGTAGCACAGCTGATTTAACTAGGTAGCTGTTAGTGCTCACTCTTTTTGTCATTCTTTCTCCCCATAATGTTGCATTGAACATTTTAGTACACTTACTTCCAGTCATTTTTAACTATTTACTCAATATGAATACTTGTATGTGATATTGGAACAAAAGCTATAACATTTTAAAAAGTTGAATCAATTAAGAATAATAAAAACATTTTTATTATCTTTTAAAGTTCTTTTCAAATTGAATAGTTAGAAGTGGGCATCTTTTCTAATCTAAATTTCTAATTTCAAGGTTAGATATTGCATATTTGTGGTCCACTTTTAAATTTCTTCCATGAATTTTTTATTCATCCTTTTGCTTAATTTTCTGTCTGGACTGTTTGATTTTGTTACTGCTTAATAAGAGCTTTTTGTATATTAAGGTATTAACTCTTTGCTGCCATGCTTTTTGTAAAGTATTTTTCCAATTTACACTTAATCTTTTGATTTTATGGGTGTTATCAGTTATAGAAAAATAAAATTTTATGAAGTCAGATTTAACCTTTGTTAGCATGATTCTCTTTGTTTTTGGTTCTCAGAGCAAATATTTTCATATATATAAAAGGCAAAATTTCACCTATATGAAAAGTTTAAAAATATTAAGTTGCTGCTTCTTTTTTTTAAGTATTCTGGAATATAAAAATCTACCATTACTTTCTTTTTTTTCTTTTTATTGAGTTTATTGGTACATTTTAGGTATACAGGACAGTTACATTCATTATTGGGATCTTGTACCTTTACATAATAGGTCTTGATTCTCATTTTTTCCCCTTGTCCCTGTCCTCTCTTCACCCCCTCCTCCCCTCCCCATTTACAAACACTTTATTTCCATTTTTTCATTTTCTCATATTTTTTCCACTCCCTTACTACCTTTCCCCCACCCTTCCCACTTTCCCTACATCTTTAGCCCTTTACTTCCTGTTTCACATTATTAATTATCTCATTAGGATCCTGTGTACTATTATAGTTTTTCACACCAGAGAAACTATTCGGTATTTCAGTTAAAGAAATCTCTGTATGAACATTAAAAATAGAGAATCCTAAAATAAAACTAAAAAGAAAAGTAAAAGAGAAAAGGCAGTGATGTAAAATTAAAATAATCCTTAATTCTTAAGATGAAAATGGTCCCTGAACATATTTAAATTGCTTCTTGCTCTTGTAGTCTTATATTATTCTTTTTTTTCATTATTTAGAGAATACTTTATTAGTTTCTGTAATCAAACCCACATAGATATGACTTTACATATTTAATACAGTGCATTACCCCTGTACAAATGGGAAAAAAATCAACATTTCTAGACCAATAAGGCTATTAATTTCTGTACAATGCCAACTCAACACAGTAAATTGGGATAACTTTTTCCAAAGTTGACAGCACAGTTAAAGTTTCCAAAAATACCATTACTTTCATGAATAAAAGTTTGTTTCTGTCTTCACAGTTGAGTCCCAGGGTCTATCATAATGCTTGATATACCAAATCAATATTTGTATGATAAATCCGTTTCTGTTTATTAAATAAAAGCAATTATTAATTCTTAAAACTACAATGAGATGCTACCTCACATCTGGGACAATGGTTGTTATAAAAAAGATGAAAGATAACAGAGCCAAAGATGACGTGGAGAAGAGGGTGTACACTGACGGTGGGGTGTCAGTACAGCCATTACAGAAAATAGCATGAGATTTCCTCAAAACCTAAAATTACCATGTGGCCCAGCAATCCCACTACAGGGTATAGATTCAAAGGAGATGGAATAAATATGTTGAAGAGACCTTCCATACCTATGTTCATTGCAGACCTCTTCATAATAGCCAAGATATGGAATCAATGTATATTTGGTGGAATATTGCTCAACCATAGAAAAGAATGAAGTCCTTTCATTAGAAGCAACATGGGTAAGCCTGGAGGACATAAAATGCAATAAGCCAGGCACAGAAAGACAAATACCACATGTTCTCACTTACATGTGGAATCTACAACAACAGTTCTACTCTCTGAGACAGAATAGAGCACTGGTTACCAGGGCCTGAACATTGAGGGAACTGGGGAAATCTTAATCAGAGGACACAAAATCTTGTTTCAATAGGAGGAGTAAATTCAAGAGAGCTACTGTATATCATAGTGACTGGGTTCATAAAAACATATATTGTACTTGAAAATTGACAAGAGGGTATATTTTAAGTGTTCTCAACACATACAATGATATGTGAGATAATGCATATATCATAGCTTATTTGCCACTACACTGTATTATACACCATAAATATGTACAATACTGCTTGCCAATAATAAATCAAAATAACAGTCTTTACCAGACTGTGCTCCTCAGGACAGCTATCTGTGGAATATGCCCTCCCCAAAAAGTGGTTCATTAGTCAAATGAGTTTGACAGATTCTGTAAACAGTGAGGCCTTTTCTTTAGTCACAGTGGTCATTAGCATACTGATGGGCTCAGACATCCTGGCAGAAAAACCTATGAGCATAGCTTTAAATCTAGTAGGTTTCATAATTTATTATGTTTTCAATCTCCAACACTCCAGCACACACACACACACACACACACATGCACACAATGAAACCCACGTCCTGTGAGACCACCCTGGAGTTAACACTGACCCATGTGGGCCCAGGTGAAAGGAGACACTGTTCAGCAGTCTCTGCTGGAATAAGGCATTTAAACGTCCATCTGATCTCCTTCCCATTTTCTGTCTTTTTCCCTTCTGCCAGGGTGCTGGCCTGTCCCTCTCAGCCCGAGATGGCAGTGGACATTGAATACAGATACAACTACATGGCCCCCTCCTTGCGCCGAGAGCAGTTCACCTTCAAGGCCTCACCAAAGCCAAGCAAGCCACTGAGGCCTTGCATTCAGCTGGGCAGCAAGAATGAAGCCAGTGGCATGGTGGCCCCTGCAGTGCAGAAGAAAAAGGTGAAAAAGCGGGTGTCCTTCGCGGACAACCGAGGGCTGGCCCTGACAATGGTCAAAGTGTTCTCAGAATTCGATGACCCATTAGATATTCCATTTAACATCACTGAGCTCCTAGACAACATTGTGAGTTTGACGACAGCAGAGAGCGAGAGCTTTGTCTTGGACTTTTCACAGCCCTCCACGGATTACTTAGACTTTAGAAATCGACTTCAAGCTAACCATGTCTGCCTTGAAAACTGTGTGCTGAAGGACAAAGCCATCACAGGCACCGTGAAGGTTCAGAACCTCGCATTTGAGAAGATCGTGAAAATCAGGATGACATTTGACACTTGGAAGAGCTTCACAGACTTTCCTTGCCAGTACGTGAAGGACACGTATGCTGGTTCAGACAGGGACACGTTCTCCTTTGACATTAGCTTACCCGAAAAGATCCAGTCTTATGAAAAGATGGAGTTTGCTGTGTGCTATGAGTGCAATGGCCAGACTTATTGGGACAGCAACAAAGGCAAAAACTACCGGATCATCCAGGCTGAATTAAAGTCCACTCAGGTCGAGCCACAAAATGGACCAGATTTTGGAATATCTTTGGACCAATTTGGAAGCCCTCGGTGCTCCTACGGTCTGTTTCCAGAGTGGCCGAGTTACTTAGGATATGAAAAGCTAGGGCCTTATTATTAGTGACTGCAGTTAACAGGTTGTGGCTCTGGTCACCCTGGGTTGGAGAAGCCAAGAAAAGAGCAAAGCTGAACTTCAGTCAGGCACTGTTTGTGACAAGAAAGGATCCTGTTCACTTTTTTCTGAAACCAGCAGATACAGCCGGGTTTAGCTCACAGAACTGGTTTCTCACTCAGAGGTGACACGCCGGTCCCTTGTGACACCTGGAGCGGCCACAAGAATGAACAGGATGGTGCCAGGAAGGGTCTGGAAAGGAACCAAGCCTGTGGGCAGCGCTGGCAAGCCTAGAGGAGTCTGCTCTCAGATGCACAGAGCCAGTCACCTGAAAGTCATTCAGTCCTTGCCGCCCCTGTAGAACCCCCCTCATCCATCCACCTTTGGTGGTCTCCACCATTCAGGCCTTTCCTGCTGCTCAGGCCACCTTTAACTCTGTGCTGTGACATCTGATGTGATTCCTTTCTGATGCAGCTACAGAGGACAAAGACAGTCAGCTCCTTTTTCTGCAAGTTCATTTTTTTTCTCACCGTTCATTCGATGTTCAGGAGAAGAGAATAAAGGCAAATAAATAGCCTGTGACTGAGAGAGGTATTTCCTCTCCCCTCTTCCTGACCCCACAGACTGGTGATGGAAGGTCCTGTACGGGGTCACAGATTGCAGGGCCATGACGAGGCAGGTGTAGGGGACACTTTCAGCTTTACCTCTTGGCTTTTTGGAAGTGCTTTCTAAGAACTAGCCATCACCTGAGTAACTAGAAGGCTCAATGACATGATTTGTTTTCACCTCATTGGCTGCTTCACAAGCCTCATTCTTTAGCAAAGAATTGTAGATCTCTCTTCCCAGAGAGTCATCTCGATTCTGTGTTTAGGACATTTGATTCGCAGATCCAGCAGATCCACGAAGCTCTCAAAACAGGTCTGGTTTTATTTTGCCTGCAGTATGCAGAACATTTTACAAGCACCGAGGGACGTTACTCAGGTGTTCTTATTTATGGTGTGCTAGTATGTAAAGGGATGGGGAGCAGACCCTCATCACATTCTCATGTGTTTAAATGTTTGCCAACTCTGAAACATCAGTGGTTCATTGTTCTTAACCATACTGGACTTAAAGTAGAATGCTGTTGTGAGACTCCTGGATGGATCCCCAAAACCTGTGATTTTTCTTGGGAAAGATTGGTTTTTACTTAGGGGTATTTGAAAAATATTTTTACATGTGTATTCATAGAAATTTTGATTTTTTTTTCTTGTTTGTTTTTGGAGTTTAGTTGAACTATTTAAGGCTCTATTTGCCTGATCTTACTAAAGAGAGGTTTTCTTAGGCACACAGGAGAAGGAATGTGCCCTTGCCTACATTTGGAGGCACAGATGCTGGACTTGTCGAGCAAGGAGCCTTGTGCTTGAATTTTCCAGATTAATTAAAGAGATCTCCTGCTTTCTGTGGCTTTGGAAATGAGTGTCAGGCAGATAACAAGTGCCTTGGCTCCTGGACTTTGGTAGTTTGGGCTATTTTTCTTTTCATTTTCATTTTTGAGCTTTTATTTTTCATTTTGAACATTTTCAGTTTTAACTGTTTAAATGCTAAGTGGTATTTGATGTAATTATCATTCCTAAAACAGGCTGTTACTAGTTCATAATCTAGGGATTTATTTTCTGTACCTCTCCCAGGTGGGTAGCACTTTGGGATTACATGATAATGTAATTTATGGGGAAATCTTATTTGTATTTTATGCTGAAACTGGGCAAGACTGTTTTATCCAAGCACCAGGTACACAGATGGTACTTTAAATGTTACATAATTATTAATGCATAAATCCAAATCAAATTGGAGGCAAAACTGATCTCATATAGATCATGAGTTTTATTTTGGGTTAAGAAGTGCCCCCCTTCCAGTGAAAGAAAGGAACAAGGTGTGCTGTTATTTACAAGCTGCCAGAGTAAGGATGATTCTGTGTTCCAAAGAAGAGGTCCTAAAGTGACTCCAGAATAGTCTTTTCATTTTGTGTAATAATGATCCTGAGACATTCCCTTGTCAAAATTTGAAATATGGTAACTCAGTGATAAGAATCTCTCCTAAAGCAGCTACAAGCCCTCCCTCCCGCCTTCTTTCTCCTAACTCACCCGAGCCTTTGCCTGGGGGCCCTGGTTGCAAGCCCCAAGCTAACACACCTGGGGTGAGCACCCTGCTCCTCTGCTCAAAAAACAAGTTCTCACCCGCTTACACAGACCCTGGTTCCCCTTGAAAGAATCTACTTGCCTGACTTCAATGATGAAGACCGTCACTTATTAGACACCTGAAGACCTTGCCTTTCTGCTGTTTATTCGCACCCCCCAACACCCCTCTCAGTTCAGCCCAGTCTGCCTCATGATTCTTTCAGATGACCTCAGGAGACACAATGGCAGCATCCCCTTCTTTGTTCCTAGCTCACCCTCTGTCTAGGTTTCCACACTTCAAATGCTGACAGGCTCCCTCATAAAAGTCTGGGCTGCAGCCTGACCTTTACCTTTGACTCCACGCCACTCTTGGTTATGATGACGAATAGTCCCCAGTTTTCACATCCTTCTCACTTGCCCAGAAGTCCCAACTTCCTGTCTCTGTGCAGTAATGCTGTGGTTTGAGTGTGGGGAAGCTACTCCACTTTTGTTTCATATTTATTTCCCAAAATGCCCTGGGGCACTTTTGCAAATTGGGTGCAATAAATAAGCTGAACTATATAAAATATATAATAAATAAGCTTTCAATGGTTCTTGAAAGATGTTTCTTGGAAGCATGAGGGTGGGCTTTTAAAAAGCTATTCTTGTTATAGAAGAGCTAATGAGAAATAATGGAGCTATGTAATTCTCCAGAAATTAGAATGATCTGAGTCAATGGTGGAATTTATCTCTAAGATTTAATTTTAGTGGTGACAAAAATGATATGTTTTTCAAAGATACAAGTTTTGAACTGCTTTGTAATGTTTGATCTTTACATATCACTTGCTTTTTAAAAACAAATATAATTTGCAGTCGCTTGGATATAAAATGAATTTTATATGCTCCTTTTTTTAGAGGTACCCATCTTTATAGGTCTTCTCTCCCGAAGGAAAGTGATTGCAAACCTTAGCTGTCTTTTTTAATTCCTCCACTGGATGCAGGCCCACTGGCTCTTTGCTGGGGGTGGGGGAAAGAGGGGCTGTATCTAATTGTCTCTCCCTACGGGATTACTGAAATTGGAAACAAGAAATTACACATATAGTGGGATCTCACCTATCATGGGATCTCAGGATTACCCAAAGACAGTTTGGCAGCTTATCTTACTTTCCTGAAGTGGAACAATGAATCAGGGACGAGCAGTTTATACTGGGCATGGTTGTAAGTTGCAAAATTGTGAATGTTTTTACAGTTGTGTTGATTGGTTCAGAGAGGTGGCTGGGGTGTGTGGGGCCCTGGAGAATGCAGCTGTGATGATGTTTCATTTTTACCTCAATGTGAATGTAGAATTGAGGACTCATCTTGATTTTATGCCTAAAAGTGCCTTGTCGAGAAACTTCTGCATGTTTTTTTAAAAATAAATATTTTTTATACACAAAGTTAAAGGGGAAATGCACTTTAAAAATCACAAGAATGGCTGTTTTTTTGTGTGTGTGGTATGAGAATGATTTGTTTGTATCTATCCCAAAAGCAACAAATAATAAAAGATAGAAAAAAACAAAACTGAAACTGTCCTTCTATTTTTAGAGCCAGAGGAAGGGGAATGATATTTTAAATCAGTCCTTCCACATACAAATTTTAAATTTTTGAAAGGTTTCAATCCCAGTCAGTGTCTGCAGTAAAGCCAAAGCTGAAGGCAGGGGAGAAGTCCGTCGTGGCTTTTTAAAGTGTCCCACAGTGACAGCTGGTCACAGCTGGAAAGCTAGGTACAGGGAGGAGGTAGAGGAGCCATGGCTGTTCTGCTCCGAGGTCATCCTTCTTCCGACCCACTTGCTCGCTCTTCAAGTATAGTGCAGACAAACAGCAGTACTCAGGCGAATATGGGGAAACTATCAGCAGTGACTGGCACAGCTCTGCAGTGATCAAACCTTAAGCACCAAAATGAACCTACTCCTGCGGGACCTCCCTTTCCCCTGGATAGACAGCAGTTATTCACTCTTGTATTTCAAAGTTCAGAAGGAGGAGTGGAGGGATAGAGGTAAGCGGCAAGCTATCCTTAGGCGCGTCACATCCCTCCGCCCCTGCCACCCTGGGAAGGTGGGCGTGGCGCTGCGGTGGCTGCGCAGAGCGCACTGACGCTTAACAGCTGATGAACAGCTGCAGAAGTGAGTGTCATGCACAACTTCCTCAAAATTTTTAAATGCTGCCTACATTGTTTGCCCACTTCATGGAAATGGGCAGGGGGGAAATGTCACTGGTGTCTACCAATGTCTGAGATTCAGTACAGTTTTCATAATCGTTATGTGAATGTGACATCATCACCTGATCTCTGAGAGGGCTAGAGTAAGAAACCAAAAGAAAGTGCAAACCACTTTCCTAGAGCAGTGTCCCCAAATTAGCGAGTGACCAGCTCTGCACCATTCAGCTGAGCACTTGCTGCTCGCTGCCGATGTTCAGGAGGGGCTCTTGCTGTTTCCACCCAGCGCTGTTCTCAGAGGTCCTCTGGTGAGCATGGAAACTGCAGAAAGGCCCGGGACATCGGGAGGTCTGTGCTCAACCCTTACCTCTGCCAGGGACCACTGAGGCCCCTGTTCCCCAACAACAGCCTCCTGAAGGGACCTGGGTGTGTTGAGCAGCAATGAAGGAAATAGGATCCTTGATAGTGCCCTGAGTATTTCTGAGATTGACCAAAGTCTTTAAAAGGCTTCTAAACATAAATGCCTGAGTACCCATAAATTCCATGAGCACCATGTGCATTCTTTCTGAGAATCACAGGACAGAACAACGGCCCAATCGCTTGGACTTCATTAAAATCGCTAGTGTTTGGCTGAATGGAATATTAGAGAGAGCTCACCTTTGTGGAGAAAGAGATGACAGTCCTGAGAGAGCTTTTGCTGGTCATGGGGCCCATCAGAAGGACAACACCAACCTTGTTTTGTTTTTCCAACTGTCCTTGTGAATCAGAGTCCATTCTCCAGATCGGAGAGAACACAAGGATGATTTTGAAAAGCAACACTTTGTGCTGCAGCAACGCAGTTCCCAGGGCAGGAGGAGGGGGCCGTCACTATGTAAGGAAAGCCAAGTCCTTCCAAGGGTTTCCTCAGCATGCTCAAGGGCTGTGTAACCATACAGTCAGAAGGAAATGGCATGGATCTCTGGGGACTCCCTGGAGCTCAGAATACGGCAGGAGGAAACCATCTCCTATAAACTACAGTGGTTTCCGGAAAGGGGCAGAGTACTTGGCCTCTGAGAGTTCCTTTCCCCCAAATAGAACCCCTGTTGTCATGTAGCACAAGACAGCTTTAACCAAATGTCACTCCTCATTCTTCTGGTCACATCCCTCAGAGGGAGAGAGAGAGAAGGGATGTCTCAATGAATGTGCTTGCTGTCCTCAGAGTTTCTCTGTCAAGTGCCACACCTGAGTTGACGCCATTCCCCGGGCACTGGTGTATCTCCCAGCATCAGCCTGGTGCTAGGCCTTGCTTTTGACAAAGGTAGAGCAAGAGTACAGAGCTGTCACCTCCCTTTGGCACCAAAGGCAACAGTAATGATCCTACATTCTGGTCCTCTTCCCTCAAAGCTACAATACCAAAGATCCAGATCAGGGGTCAGAACCATTCTCTGCAAGGATTGGATAATAAATATTTTAGGTTTTGTAGGCCACATGGAGTCTTTTCCATGTTTGCTTTCTTGAAAATATAAAAATCATTCTTCACTTGTGGGCTGTACAGAAACAGGACAGGGCTGATTTGTCCTACAGGCTGCAGTTTGTCCATCCCAATGAAAAGTCATCTAGGAGGAGACTTGAGAAGCAACTTGCAGAGGTTTGGAGGCAGGAGGTTATTTTCAGTTACTTTTTTTAAGTGACCATATAATTTATGGTCAAAACTGGGACACTTCTGGGAAGGAATAAGGCTGCTATTATTAATTACCTTGGAGCTCTCAGTGTGTCTAAGAGTAACCTGGGCAAACGCAACTGCTAGAACTCTGCCAGTGCTCACCTATTCTCCATCAGTCCTTTGGGGTCTTTCTAGACTTTTGGAGAGCTCAGAAAGCACAGCATGGTCTCATGCAGTAATCATTTCTGGCTGAATAGTGCCTTTTGGGAAGGCTAGATTACAACACAGTGATGATTTAGTTTGTGGTCTAGATCTGTTTTTGTTGGTGGAGTTTTCTGTTTCCTAATTGTAGTGCTGATGGCCAAAAACCCTTTGGAAATTATAGTCAACTCACTCTTAACAGTAGTTTGTTTAAGAGGAAAGGGGTTATTACTGGTTTGGACTTATTTCCTACCACTACTTTACCCACCCACCCACCCAACCCTATGCCCAACAAGTAGGCAACGCTCATTGTGGACAGAGACACTGAGTTGAATCCAGCCATATTCCAAACCCAAGTCCCCAGGAAGTAGCCCTCAAGTGCCCCTGGGAATTTCACCAACTGCTGCATCTCGGTTCATCTTTCTCTGGCCTAGCAAGTTCAAGAATCCTGAAGCACCATAGCAGACCAAAGAGCTTGGAGTTTATCCCAAATAGCTCTGAGTCTTGGCCTTAAGAACACCCTCTCCCTTGCCAGTGGCCACCATGAGTAGTGAGCACATGTGTACTATATTTTGTGCCCTGTCACTTCCTCCCACAGGTATTTAATACCATTATCCAGGGCTGAAGGTAGATCCATCATATGGAGAGAACTCCAATGTTCATGCTGAGGGATCTTGCAAAGGTTTGTATGGAGATCAATGTTTCAAAGAAGAATTCTGCACCACCAAGGGAGGGCTAGTATTACAGCACTTATTCAGTTCTTGGGAAAAAGTAGGAACAACGCATATCACAGTCTTCACTGCTAGGTTAGTGACAAATTGGTTACTACTTCCATTTGGGCTCATTTCTGGAGTCATCTACTTGATTGCCTTGAAGGGAACAAGAAAATTGGCCAGGTGAAATTTCACTGATTTTATAATTATAACAACAGTTTATTAAAAATGATTCCTCAATCATTTACCATTGGTCAAGTACAGATTTCATCATACATTAGGATATCACCCAAATATTTTCATAAATTCTTTGAAACAGATTT